GCCTCATTGACAGAGGATATGTACTCAAGCCTGAGGGGGTGCTGAGAGGGTCTGATCGTGTTCAGTGCTTTGAATGTCTTTCAAGTTTAGCTGCACAATCCAGTTGAGATAAACGATTGATATGAAGGATGAGATGTGGGTATGTAGCGGGAGGTTTTGTAGGGTTTTTGATAATTTTCAAGACCGCCCGCTTTCCGTGTGATTTCTTACAAATTATTACCTCGGGACTGAACCACAATTCAGTCAAACATTTTTAGTAATCATCGGATCCTAAAAGCGGGCGGTCTCAGGTTTTATTTGCGGGCACTTTTTAGTAGCCCCCCTGCTTTTTTGCACTGTTCCTTTGATCATTGTAGCCGAAAAACTGAGTACGTTTAGTGATAACACGCTTGACTCCATACGAAGTGTTGGAACAAGAATTTGCTAATAGCCAAGCCCAAGATAAATCATCACGCTCCATATTGCTGAAGGACCTGGCTGGTCTGCTGGCGAGTACGGTCCTGTGTGGTAAATACATCAAGGAATATATGATTTCGACGAGAATCTTTCATCATTGATATCAGCAACGTCTAGCGCCACATATGAATGTCGCACATTCCTATCATGCACTGATAGATATATGTCCAGGCGCAGAGTATATTCGATAGGAAGCCTTCAAAGTTGACGATCTGAAACACTCAAGCTTGACGCTTCATCATCATCCTGCAAGTGACGGGATGAAAAAAAAGTCGACGAGTGTGAAATGCAAATTTCCTTGCTGAAAGAAGTGTCAAAAGCAATCGATGATAATTGATTCAGCATAGTGAAAATTCGTCTCAGTTGATACAAATTTATTTATCAAGAAACGTGATTGACTCAAGGCCTCCGGCGATTCCTCATATTGAGAGGTACCAGATAACTATCAATCTTCGGTTCGTATGTCAAGAAAATCTGAGCTGGAAATATGGGTGATACTCTCCGCCGTTCGCTTCTTCTGACGGTCTGGAGCTTTTCCCATCAGTTTGACAGTATCCCCAGGGCGGAGTGGATGGTGATGGCGGTCGAAAATGGGGATAGATCGCACCACTAAAAGCTATTTCCGAGGTTCATTGATGATTTACCTGGTTTCAATCGGATTCTTTCACATCATCGACCAATCCTTTGATTCATCCGGCGTATCTCAACGAACTATTTTCTCTTTTTGAGGTTTTTCTTAGCGATATCCGCATAGCATGAATGGTGAATCATTCCACTAATACGAATCTGTCTCTGGTAACTTGGATTTGTCTTCACGACTTTCGGATGCACCACAGATCCACCCTGACAGCATGATGTTATGATAAATCTTACTTGTCCAGAGTCCCAACTGGTTTGGTGGGTTATTGACCTAAATATCATTGCAGTCAAGCACAACGCTGGCCATCCGGACCCTCACGCTTCACATTCTTCTATTGCCTGCTTCTCTGCCAATCACCCTCCCCGTACATCCGCGTCATCCACACGGGCATATTGCTGGATTCGGCTGCCCATCTTTCCACAGTAAGTTCGGTTGGGCTTTGACATTTACCTTCGAGACTTTGCACCATCGCATCGTTCTCATAGAATCGTGACACTCTTGTCTCGCATTTTGCAATCAACTCCTTCCCACTCATCCACCATCTGTGCTTGCATAAGCTGACTTTAGACAGCTCTTCGCTTGGATACTTTTCTTGGTTGTTTGTGTTTTAGAGCATCACTCTTGGATTGCCTTGATCCTGATAACCGTTGGGCCAGTTCACCTCAACGGTTGCCAGTCATTGGATCAGTGACCTGATCAATTCAACCTGTCCAGGCTCTCACGTAACGATTGTTTTGGAGCTGAATTTGCGGGTGGGTCCCATCTCCTTCGTGGAGCGGAACGGCTTTCACCGGTCCGCCTTTCATTGCTCATCCTATCAGTGGGCTCACCGTTTTTTACTTTTCAGCCTTTACAACAGCACAAGCCTTTCGCCCACACAGCAATCGATAATAATTGCTTCCATCAACTCACTTTCGAACCCGCATTTTCTCACGTTTTGCCCCAAGTCTTGAGGTGGATTAGGCTACAGTCAGTCTTTGTCGCGCGATTATCATTGTAATTGCATGAAATTGTCAATTACGCCAACCATCGTTTGATCCTATTTCTCCCACCGAACTGTTTCGCTTCCCACGGTCCTCGCTGCGTATTGATCAGGAATCAGTCACTCCACTCCCAAAGTGTCAACAGAAAAGTCCAATCATCAGCTCAAGTTGGTGAGTACCATCTGATCGGATGTACTTCAAGACTGGATCCCAATTGACCCGCCCGCTCTGAGGAGCCATTCGCCCTCAGTCACATTAGCGCTGAGGCTTCATTTAAACACTCATTTTTGGTCCAACCAACCCGGCACATTGCGGAATACAAGTTTCTGGATATTGATCCTTTGCTATCTCGTCCTTGCCATCTGCACGCCGGACTTCCTAATCGGTGAGATTTGATATTAAACCCTTGGAAATACCTTATCCCAATCACCCTCCTCGCAAACTCACTATTGCCTCTGAGTGTCTCCAATTTCCACACTCACCCAAGCATAGTCTGACCAGTGCATCCATCTGCTAGCGATCTTACGCGTTCCGTCCGAATCGCATTATTAGTTTTTAATCTTGCGATTACCACTACCATCAACTCTCAGTTCTTCATCCTCATCGACGACTGCATAAACTTCCATTCGAATCCCGACGGGCAGCTCAGGCGCAAGCCGGCCATTCCACTCCTCCATCCTTTACTCACGCCGGCGTGCAACTCAACCATGATCTTTTTTGTATTGCTTCTCTTTCTTTCTTTCGCCGATGCTCACCCCTACGATGAAAAGCTTGTCGACTACAATATTAACTTGAACAAAACTGCTGGCACGAACGTCTTATCTTATGTATCTGATTGGCCTGAGAAGCGTGCATCGGGGTATACTCCAAGTCCTACAAATTGGCGTTCTCTGCCTACTTATACTGTGCTTTTAGACAAGTTGAGTATCTAGTGTGGCTAGTGCTTTCTGTTCTTGCAAATTATCGGGGCTAATGGCGTTGATCTTTGCATTCCCTTATTTACTTCTAGGATTTTTGATGGTGATCCTTCGAACAACGATTTCTATGGCACGCGTTACGAGTGGGACCTTTCGGCAAACCGTGCGTCATTCAAGTAGATACGTCCTTGCTGCATTGCTGAATTAATTGACCGAATTTTCCCATCATAGAACTTCGTCATGGAGGGGATATCACTGGGTTTGCACAGGACAGGGTACTCGATTACATCTAGTGAGTTCCGTGCTACGTCTACTGAGTCTACATGTCGCTGAAACATATTTTCCCCGGCGGTTGCCAGTGGAATGGGTTATCGTACAATCTACATTGCGGGTACACCCTGGCTCAATATGCCATGGCAAGCAGATGGCTACTCAGCTCTCGATTTCACCCTTTTGGATCCACATTACGGTACAATCGCTGAATGGCGTGCTGCGATTGATAAAATCCATGCCAAAGGGATGTGAGTAGACAGAGAGAATTGTGTCTTTTATCAAAGTATTGATTTCATCATTTATGTAACTCTAGGTATGTGATGCTGGATTTGACGACCACCACAATGGGCGATTTGATAGGCGTAAAGTCCTTTCTCAACACCTCCGCGCCTTTCAACCTACAAGGATATGAGGTTGAGTACAAGAACCCTCCACATGGCCCTTGGGGCATCAATCAATACGTGGACTTCAACTTCACCAACACCCGAAGCTCAGACTGTAAAATGCCAAACTTTTACAACCCCGATGGCACCTTGCTCACTACTTTAGGCGAGACAGTAAACGGTTGCTACAAAGGGGACTTTGATCAATATGGTGATGTCGAAGCCTTTGGTGTCCATCCGGATTGGCAACGTCAGTTGTCCAAGTTTGCTTCCGTGCAAGATCGTCTGCGGGAATGGGACAACAGTGTTGCTGTAAAATTGGAGCATTTGGCTTGCATGACACTCCAAGCTCTTGACCCGGACTCGTTTCGAATCGACAAAGCTACACAACAGACTGTTGACTTTGTCGGAAAATGGGGTCAAGCTGTCAAGACGTGCGCGAAAGCTATTGGAAAAAATAACTTCTTTATTCCGGGTGAAATGTGAGCAATGCAACTCTTTCGCTCCTTACTAATCCTAATCGTGACTAAGACTTGATACTAATCCGAAAATATTAGAACGGGTGGAAACACTTTTGGATCCCTTTATGTCGGTCGGGGGCGGCAACCTCAACATTACGCAAATCTCGGATTCCGTGAAGCTGCACAAGTCAAAGCAAACCAGTCCCAATACTTTTTGAGGGACGTGGGTGTCAATGGTCTCGATGCTGTTGCCTTTCATTACTCGGTATATCGCTCTTTGACGCGGTTTTTGAGTATGGATGGTAATCTTGATGTAGCCTATGACGTTCAAACCAACTGGGTTACTGCTTGGAATCAGATCTTTGTCTCTAGTAAGCACTTTAATCATCCACTTTCAAAAGAGACGTAATCCGATCTGACCTCTTTACTTAGATGACTTTTTAAACCACGACACTGGTTTAATCGATCCTCGTCACCTTTATGGAACATCAAATCACGATGTTTTCAGATGGCCTTCCTTGGCCAATGGTACTCAAAAGTTGCTGCTTGGACAATTGATCACCAACCTGGTTATGCCTGGTATCCCGTTAGCTTTCTATGGGGAAGAGCAAGCAATGTATCTTTATGACTCACAAGGTTGGTACATTCACATTTGATCGGGTGTTTATGTCATGTCACGCTGATAGAGTCTCGTTTGTGGCACAGCCGATAACTATTTGTACGGTCGTCAGGCTATGTCCGCCACTCGTGCCTGGCAAACACACGGGTGTTACCGTGTAGGATCACAGCAGTATTTCAATATGCCTCTGGAGAAAGCTTTACACGGCTGTAAAGACGAGTGGAATAGTTTGGATCATTTTGATCCCACCGCTAGCGTCCGAAATGTCTTTAATCACTTCATCTACCTTCGTACTCAATATGCCGCACTCCAGGATGGCTTCAATCTCATACAGCGCGGAAATTGGACAACTTTTGGACAACTTCCTGGCTCTAACAAGACGCAAACCGAATGGGGGCTTTGGAGTGTCAGTCGGGGACCAATGGACAATGAAATTCTCTCTGGTCCGAACCCCAATGTTACCGTTTGGATCCTCTACAGTAACTTGAACGAGACCAAGACTTTTGAGTACGACTGCAACACAGCATTCTGGATTTCGGCACCCTATGCAGCCCCCGCGACTGTTCGGAACCTGCTTTATCCTTACGAAACTTACAATCTGGCTGGATCGCAATCGCCGTATTATTTAGACGGCAAGGCACCGTACCGTGGATGTCTAGAGTCTATCACAATGGACCCGTTAGGGTTCAAAGTTCTGGTCCCAGTCCAAAGTTGGACCCCGCCACTTCCTCGTCTCGTCTCTTTTACCCCTGGTCATGACGCACGAATCTTATCTCACCCGAACGATGATACACATGTCATCAATTTCAGTCTCTCGTTTTCAGATGAGATGGCATGCAACGACGTTTCGTCCGCGTTATCTCTTTCCTACACTATAGACCCCGCGTCCACGCACAAACCTCAAATCAACATCGCAGGAGCATCATGCACTTCCACGTCCCCAGCTCTTGCCAATTACTCGCCTGCACCTGCCGCCGTATGGACCTGGGCAAGCACGATCACTGATGCTGTAGACGGGATTTACCAGATCACAGTAAACAACGCTACAAACAAAGATGGAATCCACACACACACAGTAGACCATCTTTTACTGCGTAAAGGTACAGAAGATAATCCGGTGGTGTTCCAGACGACAGTCTATTCGCGAAGTGTCTTGCAAAAGGGCTCAGATGGTGGCATGAAGATAGTCTCCAACGCACCTGGTTCTGATCTTATGCGTTACTCAACTGACTTTGGACAAACATATTCAAAATGGATGGATTATGCAACAGAATTTAAGTTACCTGACACGGCTTTCAATGCTAAGCAATTTTGGGAAGGAAATCACATTCGAGTGCAGTACTATTCGAAAATGGCCGGATCAGCAGCACAAGCCGTCGACTCTGACTATGGACTTTCTGATACGACTCCTCGGAGGTTCCCTCAAATGTTGCTGAGAGGACCATTCAATTCATGGTAAGCCCCTCCAAAATCACTTTTCTTGAATTTGTTTACCAACTAGAAGCACCTTTTTGGTTCATGCACCAACTCAGGGGATTTGATATGGGTACGAAGAACGTATTCACCGCGCTAGACGGGAACTGGACATTTGATGTAAGTTGAGATTTTTATATACTCTCCTTAGTTGAACGATTGATTTACTTACGTGTCGTTTCGATTGTAGATCATGACATCGTGGCCTAACTACTTCCAGGCGACAGTGTTTAGCACAGACGAGGAGTCGTACTACGGTGATGTAGATGGAGACGGCGCATTGGACGTACTTCCACCGAACACTTTGGCCCCAAACTACTTTAACCTCTCTCGGCCGATGTCACCCTACCTCGGATGGAGGATAATGATCAATCAGACTGACATGACTTGGGGTGCTGTACCCATCGGAGACGAGACAGTCGGAATTATCATGTTTTTCCTTCTTGGTATCATTCCACCGCTCACTGCTTTGCTTGCATGCTGGATTTTCCGGAGAGCCTTTTACTCGATCAAAGTGAACAAGTACGGCTTCAAAGAGAAGAAGGGCTTCGGGCTTCTTCCCTTCCTCGACTCAATGAAGCAAAAATCCAATGACTATCGTTCAGAAAAAGGTGAAAAGGGGATGCTTGCTTCTGGTATTGGTGCTGCAATGGGACTTAAAATGCGAACTGGCACACGCTGGCCGGATGACATGACGGCTAGGCGAAAAGTCTTGATTGCGACACTTGAGTATGAGATCGCCGACTGGAAAGTCAAGGTCAAAATTGGTGGTCTGGGTGTCATGTCTTCGCTGATGGGAAAAGCGATGCACGACGTGGATCTCTTGTGGGTGGTACCGAAAGTCAAGGACTTGGAATACCCAGAAGCTGATCCTGCACCTCCAATTGAAGTCACCATCTTCGGCGAAAAGTACCTCATAGAATGTCAAACTCACCAGCTCGATAACATCACATATTATCTTTTGGATTCACCTGTCTTCCGAGCTAACACCAAGTCAGATCCCTATCCGGCTCGCATGGACGATCTAAGTTCAGCAATATTTTATTCGTCTTGGAATCAATCTATCGCCACGATCTGCCGTCGCAATCCGGATCTTGACATCTACCATATCAATGACTATCACGGAACGCTTGCGCCATTATACTTGCTTCCAACTGTCCTGCCTGTATGCCTTTCTCTTCACAACGCCGAGTTTCAAGGTCTGTGGCCGCTCAGGACTAAAGAAGAAGCCGACGAGGTGTGCAGAGCATTCAACTTATCCAAGGACATATGTACGAAGTACGTTCAATTTGGAAATGTTTTCAACTTGCTACACGCCGCGGCCAGTTTTATCAGTCATCACCAGAGGAGTGTGGGAGTGGCTGGAGTGAGTGACAAGTATGGTAAACGAAGTTGGGCACGTTACCCCGCACTTTGGACCCTCAAGACTATCGACTCTCTTCCCAATCCTGATCCAACCGACATCGAAGCACTAGACCTTGTGCCTCGAAACATGAAAAACGTCGAGATCGATGAAGAGGCAGAAGCCAAACGACCAGAAGACAAGCGGAAGACGCAAGAATGGGCGGGGTTAGTTCAAGACCCTAATGCTCAACTGTTTGTCTTTGTTGGAAGATGGTCCCTTCAAAAAGGTGTCGACTTGATTGCAGATGTCTTTACAACAATCTTGGAGAAGCGTACAGATGTACAATTGGTCGCCGTAGGACCAGTCGTAGATTTGTATGGCCGTTTCGCCGCTGTCAAGCTTAACCGGCTCATGGAAATGTATCCTGGTAGAGTTTTTTCCAAACCCGAATTCACTGCTTTGCCGCCATTCATCTTTTCTGGTGGCGACTTTGCGTTAATTCCTAGTCGGTGAGTATTGCGTGTCTTATCTCAATTTACAATTCATGACTGAGTTTTTGTTTTCCAGTGATGAGCCCTTTGGACTAGTTGCCGTCGAATTTGGTCGCAAAGGTGCACTGGGTGTTGGAAGTCGACTTGGTGGCTTGGGTCTTATGCCAGGATGGTGGTTCCCAGTGAGTAGAGAACGTATTGATCATTTAATGGCACTTCACAGTCTTGCTGATTCCCCGTCCGCTATATCAGGTTGAGAGTGATAGTACGTCTCACATGCATTCCCAGTTTACAAAGACCATCAAGGCGGCTTTGAAGTCTACCAACGAGGAACGTGCTGTTCTGCGAGCTCGGTCTGCTCTACAACGCTTCCCAGTCCTTGAATGGCGTAGCCGAATGGAAAACATGCATCGTCGATCTATCAAGGCCTCTCGTAAATATGCGGGTCAACTGGCTGCTGGTCCTGGTTCCGGTAACGATCATTCTCTTACGAATGGGGATATGGAGCTTGGTCACCATCCTGTCCACTCGCCACCAGAATTACTTTCAACACCATCCTATGGTGTGTACAATCGGAGGGCCGGCGGGAGAGACACCCTTGGACCATTTGATACACCCACAAGTTCAACTTATTTTGACAAAGACGACGAGCAAGATCCGCTGAGACGACCCAATCTTTCTCGTAACTCGTCAACTATGGGGTCTGACTTGCCGTATGCCAATGCTGGTCTGGGATCCCCGATTGTTGATAATTTCTATGCTTCTGGTGGATCTGGTGCGGCGAGCGAAGATGAAACGGATGAATCTGTTTTCAAACGCATCTCACTCGCGCCAGAAACCTCGGCAATGGGCGATCAAGATGATGATCAATACGGAAGTTTTCTCACCAAGGCTAATCGGCAACTGAATCGATCTCTAACAAGAAAGTTAACCAAGACATACGGAAGGCATGCTGTAAAAGACCCATTCATTGCAGCAGGGAGCTCCACTGCTGAACCATTATCGTCATTTGCGGAGGAAGATGTAGTTCTACGACCACCGATCAGACCATTCGGTTCTAATTTGGATGCCAACCGAATCAGTACAGCGTCATTTGACTCTATCAACTCGATCATGGAGGATCATGGGGCTGATTCACCTTTGAACAAAGCGATTGAAGGCTTCACTGACGAAAATGGTGAAGTTACTCAAGGTTTCATCGCTAAACTATCGGAACTCAACTCGGCCAACTCTAAGGCAGACTTGTGCATCGCCGAATACTTAGTGGCAGCTGAGAAAGCCCATTTCAAAGGTGTTCGAGATGACAAATTGGCCTTGGCAAGATCCAGTCGCGCCGATTCTCACTTTCACTCGGTCAAAGCGGTATCGTCTCGTCGACCTCTGTCTCGAGCGGTCAGCGACATCAGTGCATACCACTCACCAACCGATGCGATGACAGAGACTCCTTATGGCAGTGATCAAGCGTTGAATACTACTATTGGTCTCAACAAGTGGCAAGTCAGGCTTCAGCAAGTGTATGGTGGCTGGCCTGTTTACACTATTCTACTCGCACTTGGCCAAGTCCTTGGAGCCACGAGTTTTCAGCTCTCTCTGTTAGGTGGGACAAGTTCGCAGCGAACTTTTGATTTATACAGTGAGTTTCTTATTTCTTCATATGTATTGTTTGTGCAGCTCGATTCTGATGAGATCATAAATTCAACAGTCATCGGTGGTGTGAACATTATCGGATCGATCTGTTGGTATGCTTTGAACAGTATCAAGCCTGCTAACTGGTCTCTTTCGATGCCATGGCTCTTTTTCGCAATGGCATTCATCCTAATTGGAGTGCCGTCTCTCACGGAGACGACCAAGACATATGCTTTCCGACATCCTATCTCCCTCATAGCCTCAAGTTTTTACGCCTTTGCATCTGCTGCTGGATTCCGTGAGTTCACTTTTGCAGCGCTTCACTCACTGATCACAGCTGACTTTACACATCTGGTGCTTTTAAAAGTCTTCTTCAGCACCAATTTTGGAGAAGAGGCCGGAGGAGCGAGTGACACTTGGGTTTTCAGAGCTTGTGTTGTGCAAGGCACGCAGCAGATATGGGTACGTGCTCAACTTTTCAACTTCTGTTATTACTTCACTGTCTAAAAAACATTACTTTTGTAGGTTGCTGCCTTATGGTACTGGGGATTCAAACTTCAAGGCACAGACCCTTCTGACACAAGTTCAGTCCCGTCAGCTTGGATCAATGCTATTACCATGACACTCGGACTAGTGTGCATCTTTATCGCATACGTTTTGTACGTTGGCTTGGTAAGTCTATATTTCATCCACGTTAATCCATGTTGTGCTTGCCTTGGTTGACTAACCTGGTTTCCTGTCCTAGCCAACTTACTACCGCAACGTACCGGGACGGGTGCCTAACTTCGTCAAGACTTTGTTCAGGCGGAAACTCGTGTTGTGGTACCTCGCGGCTGAGATTCTCCGTGATTACTGGCTGTAAGTATTTGAGACCTGATCATCACGCTATTATTGCAAACCACTAAATTGTATCTATATCATAAAGCTCGGGACCGTATGGCCGAAATTGGTCATTCCTGTGGACTGGTCACTCAATTCCAGTTTGGTTCACAGTCCTTCTCGTTATCATTTTCTTCATCGGCATTTGGGGAGTGAGTGGCAAAAATCGCATCCTTCACTTCCGACATTTTGAATAGAGCTTGATACTGACAGTCGAAAAACCTATAGGTGATGATGTGGGTCTTGAGTCGTATTTCCAAAAGACATACTTGGCTTCTTCCGATATTCGCAGTGGGATTGGGTGCCCCTCGATGGTGCCAGATGCTTTGGGGAACAAGTAGTATCGCTCTCTACCTTCCATGGGCTGGTGTCGCAGGACCTTATCTAGCTAGTAAGTACAAACGTCATTTCTGAATATAGAAGAGCCGCTGACTTCTGTTCGCCATCATGAAGCATCTCTGTGGCTTTGGTTGGGTGTCCTAGACGCAATTCAAGGAGTTGGTCTCGGTATGATCTTGTTACAAACTCTGAGCCGAGTCCACGTAGCAGCAACACTCTGCCTAGCGCAAATCATTGGATCAACCGCAGTTATTGTTGCACGAGCAACAGCTCCCAACCGTATCGGACCTGGGAACGTGTTCCCAGATCTGGGATTGTATGACCCGCGTGGGCTTCTTTCGGATTCGCCACTCGCAAACTGGGAATTCTGGGTCGCTCTATTTTCACAACTGATCATTGTAGCGGGCTACTTGGCCTTGTTCAGAAGAGAGGTTTGTCATCATTCAATTCAGTTATTTCTGTTTCAAAATCTTCTGGCTGACCTGTATCTTCTGTCTTTGATTCTGCGTCTGAATAGCAATTGTCTAAACCTTAGCTTCCTTACCTCGACTTAATTTTTTTGCTTACTATTTGTTGTTTAAGAAATCACCTCATATCTCACTTTCCATTTCAATTATTGACATTTCATTCAAGCATATCTTTAGTTCAATGTATCACAGTTATCTCATAGTCATTGTTCATTAAAATAGAAACATTTCTCTTTGGTTCCATTGAAGGATCATTCAAACCTGCACAGACCTGCACGTGCCGTGGTGAATTCTTACCGTAAGTCAGATGATCTCAGCAGATGTCCCTAAGTCCAGTCTCGAAATGTATGTTCATCTGGGAGACATATTTCTCGACTCAGACTCCATCGCGTATGTTTTTGGCGACGTGATGGTCCAGAGATGTTGAGCGGTTCCCAATGAGTCTCGGATTCAGACCTCATCGGCAGAATGAATCTGATGACACGACATTCTAGGCAATGATGCTTTTGTTATAAACCACTCATTACTCAAATGGTTGCCATCAGTTGATTTTATGATCTACGAATAACAACTGCCATAGTGAGATGTGAACTGATTTTTAACCGTTTACACCTCATGACGGTTTTACCAATCTTAAATATCCTCGAATTGAATTGCAAATTGTACACTGCGCTTTTAGATACAACATTTGACCACACGTAAATCCACTTGACCAAGATCTCATTCCATCACATTTGTTCACAAGAATCAAGATACAGGTTGCAGGTTGGCGGACCTGTTTATGCCAAAATCCATGTGGCACAAGTGCTCCATCGCTGATAGAGTATCATGTTGAAAAGAACTTATAAGCAATTATGCGTTTGAGGTGTTATCAGGCTAAAATTGTTTGCAGATGCCAAGAATGCTTCTAAGCTCTGATCACTCCACATCCATAACTCCTCAGCTGACCAGTCTTGTAATTTTGAATTGCATAATCAGACAAGATGATGTTAGATCATGTATACGCCACGAGAACAAAGAAAAATTCCAAAAGGACCGAACAGGTAAAAAGATCTTGAAGCATGCCTCTTGAATCAACTAATGAGATATTTGTACATTATGATCACATTTCACATATCAGTATAGTCTTCTGCAAATCTCTCTCATACAAATTGATACAACAACAAAAACTGCATAGATTTAATATGGCAAACACATATGACATCACAACTACAACAAACGTAAATATGCGACTGAACTGAAGTGAACTAAAATAAAGAAATCATAAGTCAGGTTGTACAAGGCATGGCTGGAGACTATCAAATAGAAAACGATATATCAGGACTTCTGGAAGATCACTTCAATTTTCCAATAATCGAATCAGGAGCATATTTCTTGACTACCTTGGGGTCATGCAACACTGAGACACGACATAGTTTGTCAGTTCATTGTAATTATACTCCATCCAAACCAAATGAAAACTGACTGTTGAACTCTTCCGTGGCATCCCGTCCCGCATACAACATGATGGCTTTCTCGCCTCCAGGATGATCACTACAGAAAAAGAAGTTATTGGAATAACCCAATTGTTAACTAGAGTCCTCCACTCAAAGCTTGAAATCGACTTACGCTTTGAATGCCGTGACATCCAGGACTTCACCATTCACCACTACCCAAACATCGTCTTTCGTTTTGTGTTTTGCAACGTCATCGAGACTATAAGTCTTTAGCTCTGCATCCTTCGGAGCAGCTTTTCCGGCACCTGGACCGTTAGGACCAGCTTGGTTCGGAGTTTCTTTGGGGGGAGCGCTCTGTGCAGCTGCCGATGTGGAGCTTCCTGAACTCTGACCGGTCGAAGATTGACTTTGATCGCCATCCCAAGAAAATGTGAGTTGGACGTTCTTGGACTCAGGGTGCACCTCAACTATAGTCTTCAAGTGACCTTGGATTTGATTAAGACGTGCAGCAGGTCCAGAGCCTGTGGCAAGAGAGTGCAGTAGATAAGATGCTGCTGAGTCGGCAGCAACACGACCAAATACCACACAGCCAAGCAAAGAAGATCCGCCCAATCGGTTTGCACCATGTACACCACCAGCTATCTCTCCAGACGCGTACAGGCCCGGGATTGGCTTCTTGTCTGTATCCAATACTTGAGATTTTTCATCGATCTCGACACCACCTATAGAGTAAGAAGCGAGAAGCGACGAGTTCAAAAGGTTATACTCAGATTTCTAACGTGGAACACCGCTTACCCATGCTATAGTGTAATACCGGAGTCATGCACGCAACGTGATATGGTCCTTCCATAGTGAAATTGTAATTGTGGAAGAATTCTGTGGTACAAAGGATCAAAGACAGTCAGCAATAGACCAAATCCTTAGCCATTTTATCACCTACTCTTGTTATGAGGATCCTTTTTCTTCCCACTGGCAACTTCAATATAATCATTGAAGGTGCTCTTCAACTTTGAAACCGGAATTCCCATCTCTTTTGCCAATTCTTCACCAGTATCAAATCTTTTCATCAAACCACGTCCAACGTAATGTTTACCTAAGTTGTTCAAAAGATCCATTTTAGACATTGAGAGAGATGAGCAACCAAGGGAAAGAACGTCTTACAATGCCAAAGAATTTCTTCCGAAGAATCTTTATTCAGGACTAATCTGATAGGAAACTGAGAAATTTGATTTCGAAATCAACAATGGAAAGGAAGAAATTTCATTCATAAGCATACTGACTTTGTTATTTTCCCACATCTTTCCAGTCACATAGTCACGATGACCCAATTCGTCGACAAAACGATTGCCTTCGTTGTCCAACAAGATGCCTCCAACCCCTCTTAGGGCTTCGGCAGCAAGAAATTTGACTTTGGCATCTGGTTCATTAGGATCGACCAGGCCCGTCCTTTTTGAGCGAGACGGGGTACACGTTATGAAAAGATATGAAGCTCAAATCAGAATACAGCTAGGAGACATACAAGACTTATGGATAGGAAATAATTGTGGTAAGATAGCTCGTGTTACTTACGGGTGAACTTGGACTTTCTCGAGATCAATTCCTGCACTACCAATTGCTAGAGCCATTTTCTGACCATCACCTGTACAGTGATCTCCATTGGTAGTTGGCAACTTTAGCAGATCGGGGCGATACTTGGCTAATAACCCATCGGCCGAGAAATCGGCAGCGTATCCACTTTTAGTTGCAGACCAGCAGAGAACAAATGTCAGCTCGGTTTACTGGGAAAAAGGGAAAAAAACATTTACCCTGTAGCAAGAATCACTGGTCCGTTCTCAGTATGAGTTTTTCCATTAAACTCATATTCCACCCCAGTGACTGTCCCACTACTGTCTTTCAGTAGTGTCGTGACCTTTGCTTTTTTAATGATCTGAACTCGATTAGGATCCCTATCTGCCAAATCTTCTAAAGCTTCCATTTGAGCATAGGTACTATTGTATAGCACACGAGAAAGTCAATCATCGTTCGCTCATGATATCCATAATCAGAAACTAGGACAAACATGGTCATTCCTGGAAATTGGGCCCCTCCACGATGAGTTCTGGTTGAGAGAATTCAAAAAACAGATCAGAATCGGCTCAAAACATTGGTTGTGGAGGATCAAATGAAAATTGACAAAAAACAGTTAAATGAGTTACCTTTCAAAAGAATGACCACCAAGTCGAGAAACTTTTGATAAATCTAAAGAAAATTTATCTTGAAGCCAATTTACAGCTTCTGCAGATTTTCCAGTAAGAACTTTGATAAGATCATCCCTTGCCAATTCACGTGCACTACGTTTCGTATCTTCAAAAAACACTTTTGCTGAATCTGGAATCCCTAATTCGGCTTGAGAGTTTGTACCAGCTCCATTGATACCAGATGTAGCCTTTGTTGAGTTTCCCTAATAAGATTCGAAAACAAGTCAAAATCAGTTTGTAAGTTAAAAGTCAGATAAACGGTCTGTAGGTTTTAGAGAGGATTTTCAACCTACTCCAAAGCTGAACGATCGAAATCACAAAGCAGTCATCTCAGCATTCTTCTTTTCTTATTTCGTATGTAGAACAAAATCAAGTTGTGTGGCTTACAATGGATTCTTGTCCAAAACGAGTACATTGGCACCTCGATCATATAGAGTATGCGCGGCTGACAAACCACTAAGTCCGCCACCGACAACGATAACTTTAGACATAGTGAATCGAATAAAGTAGTAACAGTTATTTTTTGTAATGCAGATTGATAATGAAGATAGACCAAATGTTAAAAACGGTTAAGGGATTTGAAGGTGTGGGGTAAAGAAGTGAAGATGGTTCATGTATTTATAGGATGAGTCATGCTCACTGCGCATGACTTCAAAAGTTCATTTGGTCAGCCCTCGGTCATTAAATCATTACCGGCCCGAGCTCATTATGTAAAGCTTCTGGACAGCTTCGATCGGTTTTTGATTTTCAAGGCAGCCACAGACCTTGCCAGACTTTCCATTCCAGTGGATGTTCCGGTCTTTATGATGAACTCAGACGGGTCAAGACCCACAAACCTACTTTGGACCCATACCTCGGGTTCACTCAACCTTGCTCTTGGTCTTCAGTGATGATTTGACTTCAAAGCGTGGTGTACCATCACCCCTACTTGGTCATAATAACAAGAAAGTAAAATTGGAAATGACTTGATGAAGCGCTCAGGCAGAAGGCTTTAAACTCATTTCCTCTCCAAAATAATTGGCTTGGCAATGGGACCTCTTGATCACTGATCATTAATAATCATCAGTGCGCGGATCAGTGACTGGACTCCCTGGTGTTTTGAAGCTGTTTCAAAAGGTTTGAAGTCAATCTTTATCGTTGTTTTCGAATGTTGTCTTATACACAAACGCCAAATGGAAACTAAGGGTGATTCTCTGGGCAAGATTTCACTTTATCCTCTACAAATATCATGAACAAAATCTTCCTGGTTTCAGAGGAATAAGGATAAGCCAAAGATCCATCACATTATACAATTGTCTTGTTCTATCTACCTGAGTAAGAAATCCAACAGATCCAAACACAAGGTATTAGCTATGATTATGACGAGTGGAATGCTCTATAGTTCTTAATAAATCAGAAATTCACAAAGTAATCAAATCCACAAATCTCACATTGAGATACAAACCTCTGCAAATTACATGTAAACATTGATACGAAACAAGGACTAAAAAACATCCAAACAAAACCACAATTCTGTCCTACAAATGTCCCCCAATCATCAAAGTACATTCACAAAATCATAAACAAAAATCATGTTTACCACCCTTTTTTTCCACAACCCTAACCTTTTCAATCCACATCTCTTTCCCACAAGAAGCCTTCAACATATCCCAAAGAGTTAAACAAGTGATACTAACACCCATCAAAGATTCCATTTCGACTCCCGTCTTTCCTTCACATTTCACATTACATTCGACTTTGAGTTTCATCTCTTGATCAGTTTCTTTGGGTTCAATGATCTCAATGTTGATTTCTATATGACTTAAAGGAATCGAATTATGACAAAGTGGAATTAATTCAGATGTTTTTTTGATGGCTTGAATGCCTGCGATTTGTGCTACCATCAATGGGTTTCCTTTTGGATTGGAATTCAAATTATGATGATTGTTTGTTTCGGTTTGATTATTGGATTCGAAATTCGGATCAACAAGTGATCGGATTCGGATTGGTACGACAACAAAACCGATGGCTTTACTACTTCTTTTGGTGATCTCTTTGGAAGACACGTCTACCATCTTTGGTTTTCCTGTGGTACTATCAATGTGTGTCAATATGTTGGGTGGAGAATGGTATTGTCGGTATACGGGAATGCGAGACGTGAGAGAAGTCGAAGAGCCTGAAATGGATGATATATGAGATTTTGGAAGTAAGCCTAAACCTGAAGATTGGTGGCCAGTGGTGTATTTGATTTGACTTCGAATTCGACCAGAGTACCTAGAGAAGTACGGTTTGTAGGCCTTATCTACGACATGCCGCTTTTCTCCAACACCGTGCGCGTCATGGAATGTAATAATTGGCAGAGCCGCTCCGACAAACGTTGGTATAGATTTAGATGAACGTGGAGCTGGAACAAATCACATATTGGCGAGAAGTGATCAAATTAGACTTCAACAGCAGTCGATCTTGATGGTCTCATCCACCAATCAATACCATGCTTCCCATTTGACCGTCGCGGGCTAGAGATTCCGCACCTTGTTGATGTCCAGCATGTTTGAAATGTTTACCTTGCAAAGCTTGACCAACAAGACTCATGAGCTATCATCATTCACTGGGTGATCGGGATCCCTCAAGTAAGGAAGGATAGATAATTTTGGAGGACCAAAGAGACAGACCTATCACGTCCGAATCATACATCAGTTTCAATCATCAAGTCAGGTCCTACCTTGGAAAAACTCAGCTTACTTTTAATTTACCATCAGCACCTAATCGTAAACGGTTACATCCTCCACAAAAGTGATCAGACATACTACTGATAAAGCCGATTTGACCTTTGAATCCAGGAACTTGATAGTGTTTTGTGGTATCATTCACATCTGTCTCTAGAGTAAGCAGATCGGGAAATATTGATTTGATAGAAGCCAACATTTCGGAATATGGTACCATTTTCTTATTTGACCAAGCATTTCCTGAATCGAAATAATAATATATGTCAACTCTAAAAGTAATTCAGGAATATGCGAATACGAGGAACAAGAAGATACCTTCAAATGGCATATATTCAATGAACCTAATTTGTACTGCTTTCTTTTCAGTCAAGCTCACGAAATCATTGATTTCATCATCATTTAAGCCTCTGATCACCACCACATTAAGTTTAACACTATCCAAAGCTGAAACACTTGAAGCATCACTGACCGCAAGGTTTGTTGGATGAGGTTTCAAATAGTTTAAAGCTTGATCAAGACAATCCAAGACTACATGATGACCTTTTCTACGAGTCAATAATTCGAATTTGAAAGGATCTAATGTATCAAGACTCAAATTAAGATTTGTAAGCCCAGCGTCAATTAAACTCTTTAGTCGACGTTTCAAAAGGATTCCATTACTAGTCATTCCAATCGATTTGATACCATTCAGTTGATTAACTTTATGAATGATATCAGGTAAATCAGATCTTAAACTTGGTTCACCACCTGTAAATCGGATCTTGTTAATACCATGACGAACCAAGATTTCTGTGATGTTTAATAATTCAGGTGTTGTCATGAGTTTTGAAGTTGGAGTTAATTGTGATTTAGGAATACCATTTTCAGGCATACAATATTGACATCTTAAATTACAACGCTCAGTTAAAGAGATTCTGAGATAAGTATGTTTTCGTCCGAATGTATCGATCAAATTTGGTGACACTTTAGGATGGTCAACTTTGCTATCTTGATCGATGAGTTTCAGCTTTTCCTGTAAAACAAATATCGAATCATTCTCTGATAACCACAAGGTTGAAATATCCTAGGAGCAGCGATCAAGGAAGACTGACCCTCGCATGTTCTCGAATCAGCTTGGCCGAGTTCGTATGCCAAAGATTGCTAGAAGATGACATGGTACGACATTGGACACTTTGCGATAAAGAACAATTCGAGTTAAACATGAACCAAGATCGAGTTGCCATGTCAAGTTGAGGTAGAGATTAGAATTGGAATTGGATGATAGAAAGAAGAGAACTTTCAACTGAGATGAAGTTTGAAATCTGAAAATTGAAGGTTGATTACTGATTGATGATTGGTAATCAAGATGATTGATACAGTCAACTCTCTCTAATGGCATACAGTTTGGCGAGGACCCTGGAAAGCTCCCCCTGAACCAACCGACGTAAAACCCGGATTTTGAGAATTTTCATACCCAAAAATCCCGGAATTTCGGAGCTTTCATACCAAATTGGTCGGTAACATTTCAGTACCAAAAGTGAGCCCCGGGCTACAAAGACAGGTTTTGGTGCCATTTAGTGCCAAAAATGTTGGTATGAAGATGAGATTTTGAAAATCATACCAGGCACGTCTGTAAGATGAATGACTGACAAGCCATTTTCATACCAGTTTGGTCAGTAACATGACCAAATCTTGACCACTCAAATCATACCAAACACGTTGGTAGGTTCAAGGGGAGCTTTCCGGGGTCCTGTTTGGCGGGCAGTTTTCTTATGCATTTAGAGGAATATGCCTTTACAAATCTTGTTTTGGCTGGCAAATCTCATTTTGGCGGGAAAAAACTCCGTAAAAACCTATGCATTTAGAGGGATTATGCCCATAAAAGGTATGCCTTTATGGAGAGTCGACTGTAACACCACGGGAATTATTATGTCCGAGACCCGATTGAGCGAAGTTGTGGTGTCCGAGTCCGCAATAAGTCTCAATTTTTGGATTGAAACCTATTAAAGGCAAGGGGGGGACCTTGGATTTTAATAGGTTTCAATCCAAATTTGAGACTTATTGTGAACTCTGTCACCACATTAAGTTTCACGTATGATTGAACCTAATAGATGCCCGTGGTGTAATCAATGATCTGGCCGACCTATCTGATCTTATCTATGCCATGTGGTTCGTCATAGAAAGAGAACAGTCTCCTAATCATCCCGAAGACACAGTGGAAAGACCATCAATCCACTCGAAGACAATATTGTAAGGCGAAACCACTTCAAATGAAGTTTCAAGTCATCTGCTCAGAAATTCTCATACTCGAGGAGATCCGTTGGACTCTTGGACGGTAAACATTCATTTGTTTGATGGCATTTCCTCTCTATCCCTCTGAGTTGATTGGACCTTATGCAAAGGAGCTTTGAAGGCCGATGAATTCAACGACCATGTTAAATCTACCCTTGTTTTGCTCACTGTAGGCTCGTGACTTCTCCGTCTCCTTTGATACCTCATATGGCAATTGTGTGGATGAAGACTTTTATAGATAGGGCAGCAGGCCTGTAAAGTGAGATCAAGGCGACTACGCGTATATACAAGCTTTTTTTCGTTGAAGGGAAAAGCGGATTGTTGCAGGAGTGTGCAAATTCATAAACTCACTGGCGCGCTGCATTTCAACTTCCACGCACAAAGATCAAGCAACTCAGAGCAGGTCCGTCGAACTACATTCTATTTTCCCTGCATGAAAGGAGAAATATTTACCGAGAGCTTTCGTAATTTGGATGTATTTCTGATTTAAAATCTGCGAGGTCTCGTTCTTATGGAGGGTTGAGCCATCGAGGAACTGGTAGTTTAGGGAGAGGCAAATCTCTCAGCAATGCAAATCCCATAGGGAGGCTTCCAAATCTCGGGGATTTGTGGCAGAGGCAGGACAAAAATACTCTCATGAATAATGATTCATTAATACAAAAATCAAACTAACTATCTTTTATCCAATGATTGGTATTATTGAAGTTGGTCACTTGTTATTAACAGATAGGAATGTTAAATAACAGGACGTTTTACATTACAAGTTGAATTCGACGGGTCGGATTCTTTTGCTTACTTCAATCCAAATTTCAAGTGACGTCACTGGCTGTTTACTACCTTTGCTAAAAAGCTTGCCCGGTTTGATCGCGAAGAAGAGACATGAGAGGTCAAATTTGGCCGCAGCCTGCTGCGAGGCCGCTGCGCAGCTCGTCAAGATCCCAAATTTGGCCGATCACAAATCCTGAAAGAGATCGACTTCACCCATGGATCTCCGACTTTGAACCATTTTGAGACACATTGTGACTATATTCACAGCATATCTGGAGCTTGGTATGTCCAGATCAACCATACAGTCAAATTCAGCTCTCATTCGATGATATCGAGGACCAAAAGTGCTGTGATGTTTCATAGTCTCCCTGGTATAATGGTCTGCCTAAATGGTTGTCTTCACACTCTTGACCCCTCATTAGTAGTGTGTTCAAGCCTTGATAAACTTTTGTGCTTTTTTGTTTCGGCTCTATGAGACAAACAAGTACAAGTCCAAAAAGGACGACATGTTTTTTTAAAAAACTTTTGTTCTTCTTGCTCAGTCAAGAGCTCACCATAGGATGATGATTGGATTGACAAATGTCCAAGATGTAAGCCTTGATTTCATTTCGGAATTTTAGCAAAAAAACTTAGGCTGCTCGGCCTTGAACCCAAGATGGCAGAAGCACCCACGTTGGCTAGTCACGCATTGTTAAGCCGTTCGACGAGAATCGCTTTCTTAAAATGGAATTAAAACAAATCTCGATAACATTCGCAGCGCGATAGAAATCGCATAGACCTGTGAGCATGATTCCATCATGATGAGGGAGATATTTGCGCTTTATGATTGATTTCAACATATCTCAATGTCAGAGATCCACAGGTGAAGTCGATCTCTTTCAGAATCGGTGATCGGCCAAACTTGGGTTCTTGTCGAGCTGCGCAGCGGCCTCGCAGCAGGCTGCGGCCAAATCCGAGCTCTCTTGTCTCTTGTTCGCGGTCGAACCGGGCAAGCTTTTTAGCAAAGGTAGTACCACATCGTCTTTTCTTCCTTTCTTCGTTATCATCATTCCACTCGCAAAACTTCTCAGTCTGCGTTGCGTTTTTTGATTTCTAAAAAGTAAATGAGTGATAACGACTATGATTATACCGCTGCTGCCGAAAAGGCTAACAAGTTGGTGGCAATCAAAACGGCTTATCTGGGAGCCGGTGGCTCAAACAATGAATCGTTGCGATCTGTTAGAAGATCTTTCTCTAAAGTCGTTCCATTTAACTCCCCAAATTGGTATCAGCAATGGTCCTTATTTGCGTCAGACCTTATCGACCAAGATCAGATTGCCCAACGTCCAGTGTTTAAAAACCAAGGCCCTGTTCCTGTCAAAACGGTTTCCTCTGACGAAGATGACGTTTATGTGTTCGATATCAATAGGGGGGTTCAAGTTAAAAAATTTGAGCTAAGATTATAGGCAACTCGAGCCACTTTTTAAGTCTGCTTGGTGCTTAAAAAACACGATGACAGCGTGGACAAGTGCTTATATATAAGTAAAGTTGGTCTAAAGTAAAAAAAGAACAGGCTCTGAAACCTTCTGAAACAAAGGTACGAGAGGCTCACAAAGTGCATTATTTCTGCTGTTATGGATTCACCAAGAGAGAAAATGAAAAAAATCGACCGTTGAGCACTAAAAAAAAGGCCGTTGACACACAATCCAAAGGACGTTTTTTTCTTCGTGGAAAAAAAAGGTCGTCTTGCTTAAACTTATAAGCATCGACTTATAATTTATAAGTTACCCGAGCAGCTTTAGAGCTGCTTGGATGGCTTATAAACAAAACTATAATTTGTGACTCCCGAACATTGCTTAAAATTCATTATAAGTCAATTTTGTTTTAACTTGAACCCCCCTAATAGTAACCCAGTCTATCCTAAAGATGCGGACCCTGCTATCAGTATTCATGATGGGTCAAGATCTAGTAAGAAAAGGAAAGGAAAAGATGTTGAGGAAAAAGAAAAGTCTATCTCTTCGAGTTCATCAATTGCTCGACAAATTTTACCGGCCAAAAAGGCTAAAAAGTCAAAGAAGGCAAAGAAGAAATCTTCTGAAGAAGAATCATCTGACTCCTCAGCAAAAGCGAAAAAATTCGACAAAAAACTTGCTTTTGTTAGTAAAAGAAAAGAAGGAGATCATGTTTTCGACAAATCTCCAGGAGCAAAGCTCTTTAATGCAGATGTCAAAGGTTATAACAGTAGCATCTCAAAATCAGTTAAATTGTTTAATGCTTCATACAAACCGGCTGATTTTCCTGGTGTGTTATCAAAAGATTTACTGTCTGGAAACTTTATTGATTTACGTCGGATCAAAGGTGAACTTCTTAATATTAGAAGAGATGACGCAGCAGCTTTTACCGTTGAAGGAAAAGAGAAGAAACTTGAAGTTTCAACGAAGACATATTCTCAGAACATTGATAGTCACGCTGAATGGTTATATTATTTCAAGATATTCAAGAATGCAATCAGAGAAGCTTTTCCGGATTGTATTGATTACATCAAGTCCTATTCCAAGTATATCAAGAATCAACTTTGGTCTCACGGTATCGAAGCACGTTGGGAAAATATTGCAGCTTACGATACAGCTTTTAGAGAACAAGTGGCTGACAGGAAAGATATTAGCTTTGCTGATTGGAACCATCCTGATCTTCAATCTCTCAACAGCAGATTCATTTCAAATGCTTTTTATCAACACACTTCTCCTTCAGTCCCATCTTACACGAAAAGGATTAATCAAATACCTTCAAGACAAAGATCATCTTTTCAGCAAAATTATCAACAAGGGCCTATCGCTGGTCCGTCAAGATTCAGCAATCAACCAAGAGATCCGAAAGACCCACCTTATTGACCTGATTTCAAACATAAAGAGTTATACGAAATCAAAGATGCGAAAGGTCTTAGAGTGGAAGAACAATTCTGTTTCGGATGGAATTTGGGAAGGGAATGTAAAGCGGGACCTTCGTGTGCCAGGATACATAAATGTGTTGGTCCTGTTCCTTTATCCTTACGTCTTACTTTTTTGGAATTGATCACTGCTAGTGATTCATAACATGTGCTTGTGTGGCTTGTGTTTCGGCCTGATGCTAACTTTGGAGTTAATTCCAGAATGTACGCAAATGTCGTGCGGCGCACAGAGGATGCGACCACCCCTGAAGAATACGCATCAGCTCGTTTCCTCAGGGGATACCAATGGGACGGTGCTACGGTTTCAGGGTTTTCTTCGGCAATCGAATCCAGCCAATTTGCAAGA